GCAGGATCACCACACCCTGCACCCTCATGGCTGCATCCTGTACCACCTATTTTGATGGGCTGAGCTGGGTTGGGGAGGGGCCAGACACAGTGCCCACCATCACCTAGCACTAGCCCTGCTGCCACACAGCCACTCCTTTTAGCCCTGTCCTCGCCACCAAAAGTATTTCAGGCAAAGCTCCAGCTCTTGAAACTTGGCCACTTTGAAGTGGTGAGCCAGTGCCCCTGAAACTGTCACCCTACATCTGGTGGCACTTCTCCTGCTGTCAGAGCTTCGTATAGGGTTCATGTCTCTTTCCTCTGAAACCTGTAAATGTAAATTCAATTTTACATTTTTTTAGGTCTTTTTAACAGTTGGTCTCAGAAGTATCTTTGGGGTAGGGAAGGGGGTGTAGCACTGGTGGAAGGAGATATATGCCCTTGAAAATTGGATTCCTTTTTGGAAATTTGCTGACACAGGCTAATCGGCAGAGAACTAAATGATCCTACTGTTTCTACCTGCTGACGGGCTCAGCCTTGGGACAGGGCTGAAATTAGCTCTCACCACATGGCAGAGACATGACTTCCTCTTTTTTTTTTTTTTCATACAAATAAGGGGTAATTTTGTCCCCTTCAGATAATAGAGCTTTGTAGTATAGATGGCCAGTAAACAACAGCCCCTCCTCCCCAACTTGGAAAGCATACTAGTGCTGAGCTAAGTACCTAGAGAATCAGGTAGTAGGTAATCTCCCTGATGAGCACTGGTTTGAAAACTCTTTCATAATCAGTGTTCTTTGGGAAATGCTCATAGACAAACCCATCCAAGCTCAGGAAATGTATTGCTCCAAAGGTGAGTGACCAGTGTCCCGGCAGCCCAGACCACAGAACCTCATGTGTCCTTACGTTTCTGCTGCTGCATCCTTTCTGTGAGTGAGGAGGTTTCAGGACTTGATGGTCTTTGGAAAATGAGGCTGTGTGTTTCGGTTCTGTTGGCCAGTGCTGTTATCTGTTGGAAAAGGAGGATTCCCTTCCCATTTTGTAAGCACGCAGCTGGCAGGTCTGTTACAATCTCACTGCCTTCCAATCAGCCCCGCCCCGGCAGCAGGCAGAGTGGGGGCCTGTGAAACACACTGGCCAGACAGTTGTGGTGAGTTTCAAAATAAAAGCTCCCTCCTGAGCACACCATGGCACTTCCTATCTCAGAGAACCAGCATTCACTGTGCCACATCTCTGGTCTAAATTTAGGCATCTCTTCTTCTTCTTTTTTTTTTTCCAGGCAAAGATTACTATGCGAACATTTAAGAGAAAAATTTTGCCCAAAGTAATTTTTTTCCCTCGACTTCTATTTGGTTTCCTGCGATGTTTAGATGAATCATTCTCTTCCAAGAAATTTTAAAGAAAAGAGATGCAGGCTGTATGATAGGGCACAAAGACTGCTCTGTAAATTCTCTTTCTCTTTTCTGCCTAGAAATCCCTTAGCTGTTTTTTTGTTTTGTTTCGTTTTTTTGCGGTACGCGGGCCTCTCACTGTTGTGGCCTCTCCCCTTGCGGAGCACAGGCTCCGGACGCGCAGACTCGGCGGCCATGGCTCACGGGCCCAGCCGCTCCGCGGCATGTGGGGTCATTCCCGGACCGGGGCACGAACCCGTACCCCCTGCATCGGCAGGCGGACTCTCAACCACTGCACCACCAGGGAAGCCCCCTTGCTGTTTTTTATAGGAAACGGAAAGGCTCCACAGTCTGCATTGTCATGGACTCGGGCCTCATCAGGTCCTGTTGTTCCCAGGAATAAATGTCTTCCTTGTCTTTGGGTGGGTCCCCCTTGTAGCGTCCCAGCTCTGACAACTGCTCCACAGCAGCCGCCAGCACAGAAGCCCTTTGGGGATTGCTGGGGCCACGCTTGCCCCCAGAGGCACACAGTTAAGGTTTCTGAAATAGAGAACGGTGGCCTTTTATCGTCTGCGCAAGGAGAGGTACAGGCTATTTCCTGCCTCTCTCCTCGAGTCAGAATTTCTCCCAGTTGCTGGGGACTTTATCATAACTGTAACCTGGCTAACAGCACGTGTGTTCCCAGCCCAGCCCGCAGCCAGAGGGAAAGTAAGTCAGAATCATTTCAGCAGCCTGTTCAAATAAACAGGGATAATAGTTGAGTCGGTCCTTTTCCAACTAATCAGTACACGAAAGGAAACATCTGCCTGGGCTTACTTGCTGTTTTATTGGTTATGCTTTTTCTCCCCCTCTCCTTCCCACCTCCTCTGGGGACTAGGTTATTTAAGTCACGGGTAAGCAGCAAGGTAGAGGAATGGGAGCTTTCTCCTGTAACCTCTGCCATCTAAACACCAGGAGGTGTAAGGGAGGCTGGGAGGCTGGCAGGGGGAGTTGGCCTGGAGGCAGGAGGGCAGGGTGTTTGGAAATGATACTCATGGTCACTTCCTGGCCTTGTTGCTGATCTGTGGCTGGTTGGTGAGTCATTTTGCCTCACTTCAACTCCTTGGGCCTCTGCTGCTTCAGTGGAGCTCAGCTCTCCTCACAATGGGAAGGAGAGGTTGGTATGTGAGATCCTGGAAAAAGGCGTTTCCTCTTACGGCTTCTTCCAGCGGTTGAGGGCATTGAATGAGAGTCATTTGGAAATAGTAAATTTAAGGCTAGCAAGATACTCCTGAAGCCATCCATTTGGTAGTGCATCTTTTTTTTTTTCTTAATTTTATTTATTTATTTATTTATTTATTTATTTATTTATTTATTTATTTATTTATTTATTTATGGCTGTGTTGGGTCTTCGTTTCTGTGCGTGGGCTTTCTTCTAGTTGCGGCGAGCGAGGCCCACTCTTCATCGTGATGCACGGGCCTCTCACTGTCGCGGCCTCTCTTGTTGAGGAGCACAAGCTCCAGACGTGCAGGCTCAGTAGTTGTGGCTCACGGGCCTAGTTGCTCCGCGGCATGTGGTATCTTCCCAGACCAGGGCTTGAACCCATGTCCCCTGCATTGGCAGGCAGATTCTCAACCACTGCGCCACCAGGGAAGCCCTGTAGAGCATCTTGGTCCCTGAGGAGAACCTGCTGATTATCTTGTGCTCTGTTGAGGAAGGCCAACGCCCCGTACACTGAAGTGGGGGTGTTGGAATCTAATGTGGACTCAGGAAGCCAGGCAAAGGATGGCAGAGGTTGGAAAAGACCTTAGGAACGTTTACGCCAAAGACTTTCATTTTATGGAAAAGAAAACAGAGGTCCAGAGAGATGGACCAGGTTGTCCAAAGCTATTTTCCTGATAGTGGAGGAGCTGGAAATAGAAGAGTCTTGTGGTTGCCAATTCAGGGCTCCCTCCATCCCTCTCCTCACTACCAGGTGTAAAAATTCATGTCTGCTCACAACAAAGGTCACACATATGTTACATTCCATAATTAATTCCTTAATAGAAAAATGGCGAAGCATAAAGGAAGAGTGAAAATGACTGCTAAACATGTCAAAAAAAAGTTTAGGCTCACTAGAATTAAAGGACTGCAAATTAAAAGAGGATACCATATCAAATTTTCAAGACAAAAAAAAGTAAAAAACATTCTTATATGCTTCTATTGGTATTTTAAATGGGTACAGTTTTTTCCAAGGGCAATTTAATGGTATAAGTTAGCAGTCTTTGACTCAGCAATGTACTTCTAGAGGAAAATAATGACAGGTGTGTGCATAGATTATATACAAAGTAATTAAATACAGCATGTTTTAGTACAAAAAATAGTAAAGTAAATGTCCAAGAATATAGGAACTACATCAATATAATCTATTATAATACTATAGAAGAATAATATGTGGGGAAATATTCACAACATATGTCTAAGTGGATAAGTTGCAGTGTGTATAATGCAATCCCAATTCCATAAAAATTGTAGAGAGAAAAATGTATAACAAAGTCTAGAGTGGTGATTTCTTAGCGGTAGGAATTAAGAGTTGCTTTTTCTTTTTTGAGGTTTTCTGCAGTTTTCTTATTTATTACAATAAACATATATTCCTTTTGTAATCAGAAAAAAGTATTTTTAAAGTCATATATCTTAAAAAGAAAAAGCAAGATCTTAAATTATTATATTTCTGACATGCAGGACATCTTCCTTTCTTTGCCTGGGAGCTGAGCTGTACCAGGGGGTAGGTAGTATTATACCTTCTGTTAGAAGGGCATTGTTGGTATCTGATTTTTAGTAGGAAAGAACTAGAAGGAGCTGGCAGAAGATAAAACAAAGGTTTCCCCTCTCAATGACCCAGTGATGCCAATCAGTTTTATGTCCTGCTCTCGTGGGCTTGGCATAAAACACTCAGCATCAAAGGCGTGACTCATTTCCTTCCTGCTTCCTTATTCTTCTCTATTTCTACCCTTTTCCCCATGTAGTTAGATGCCAGCCCTGGGCAGCAGCAGTGAAGAACCTGAGAGCCACCACTCCTTAAGATTAACCTTTTGGAGGCCCCTTAACATATAACATCAGTATCAACATTAGCAACCAGTCATGTTTGAGATACCACTGCCCTGGGAGTTTGAGGTAGAAATAAAGCAAGTAAGAGGTATAATTTCTTCTTGCTTGGAGCTCCTATTTAGTCAGGTACTTTGAAGTCCTTGGATGTTTATATACGCATGCCTGTCTCATCCTATTTCACATCTTACTTTCCTCCACAATTCTCAGGAAAGCCTGACTGCAAGGATTCAAGAAAGCTCGTCCCACCTAACAACTGTTGCCAAGTGGGTCGTGGCTTTCAGGCCTGTTCTTCGGGGACCAATTGAAAAACCAAAGGCTACAAGCCATTTTCCCTCCACGCGATTTCCTTTGCTAGGCTCTAGAAGGGGCATGTTTCATTTTATTAAAACTCTTTTAGTAATCTGACCATAATTTGGTCTGATCAGAGTGGTTATCTGATTTGCTGGGTTAAATAATGGGCCTTAATTGAGTCTGTGTTATTTGTAAAGCCTGTGCTGCCCTTGCCTTTGTTGCCCCCTCCTCCCTCCTTCTGTTTCCCAATTAACCTTCATTCCTCTTTCTTTGCAGAGTAAAGAAGTCGGCCAGCAGCTCCAAGATGATTTGATGAAGGTCCTGAATGAGCTCTACTCGGTAAATCAGCTGGGTTGCTTGGCTCTTTCACAAGCAGAGGGAAGCAGCATTTGGCAGCTTGTGGCCATACTCACGTCAGCAACAGAACTGAGCTGAGGTTGAGGACAGTGCATGGTCCCCGCTAGGGATGACTTCACCCATCTCTTTTTTCACACTCTTATTTTCAAACTGGAATGAGCCCAAAGACACTTTCTCAAAATAAGATCTCTCTTCAGCTGTGCAAGCTAACTCTGGCTTCTTTGGGGGCCAGCCAAGGCCTAGGTCACCAGCACAACTGACCCTCATTAATAGCAAACCAGGGACCCGCGAACCTAATGGCAAGGAGCATAGCTTGCATTGCTTCATGAATGATACGCGCCCTATTGGAAATGACCTATTGTTCAAAGTTTTGCATCAGTTCTTGGATTGATCTCCTGGTTTGAGACTAGAACGAGTGCTCTACAGGGATGCAGAGTCCTAAATGCCCTTAGCATAAGGGACCAGTTCAGGCAGAGAGAGCTTTGTATCGACTCCCTGGGGCTTTATAAAGGCCACACCTCCACTAGTGAAGGGCCAGGCTTTGGGTTTGGAGAAGAAAACACAATTTGTTCTGAAGTGACTGGCGCTTCAGGCACATGATGCCTGTGGCTGATGCGCGTTTCTTCATGCACTGGGTGGTGGTGGGGGCTGTTTCTCCCCCAGCCATGTTTCGTTAATTATAATTAAAACAGACACGCACACCTAGGAAATGCCTGCTGCCTTATAGGGAATATTCCTCCTGTGCAACTAAAGCCTTTCAGGGCTCCCTTCTCCAGCTGGGCTGTGCCAGGCCTTTGTGTCATTCTCCAGGATTGCCCCATCCTGTTTTGGAGGTGAAATTGATTTCCTGTGTTTACTTGCTTATTCACTGCATTTTTTCTTTTTCTTTCTTTCTTTCTTTCTTTCTTTCTTTCTTTTTCTTTCTTTCTTTCTTTCTTTCTTTCTTTTTCTTTCTTTCTCTCTTTCCCCGAGATACCAATGTACAGGGAGCACATCACCCAGAGCAGATGCTCAACAGACACTCCCTTATTGCCTGCCTTCCCTCCCTCCCTCCCTCTTTCTCTCTTTCTCTCTTTCTTTCTTTCTTTCTCTCTCTCTCTCCCTCCCTCTCTCTCTCCCTCCCTCCCTCCCTCCCTTCCTTCCTTTCTTTCTTTCTTTTTTTAAATTTACAGGAAGACAGGCAGTGGCGACATGTATCACAGGCATTTGGGATCAGAGAATTACGTGTTCTTGATCCAAAAGCCTAGGTGTGGCCACTTTGTCATGGCAACTGTTAAGCAAGTAAATAGGGTAGGGTGGTCATCAGCTTTGTCTCCAGTGATGCTCAGTTTCTTTGCAATTTCTACTCTGTGACTCTTCTGCTCTGAAGCCAAGTAGATAGATGGTTCCCTTTGGTTCAGTTCCCAAGTTTTCATTTCTTTCAAATGAAGTTAAGGCTGTTTAAAAATAGGAGCATGTTGACATGAACCTTTTTCAGACTGGATGAGTTTCCTGAACCCTCTGGTCTTTTAAATGCTTTACTTCTGCTCTTTATTTATTTTTAGAGCATCTTCTAGGCACGAAGAAGAGCTACTACTCCTTTCTCCTGGCAAATAATTCACTAAGATAGAAAATAACGCATGTAGTCATTATATGGATCCTTTTGTTTTGGGCCTCTGCTGTTGCCCTTTCTGGGGAAGAGTCGGGTGGGTTATCAGCAAACTGCAGACCAGTATAAATCCAGTGTGCCACGTCTGCAGTGGGATTTGAGGCAGCAGAGGAAGAGCAACATCTAGGGATCTGTTAGCTTTCCTCTGAATTCTAGGTCTCCTAATATGCTGATTTTTAAAAAAAAAAATTAATAAGTGAAAAGGCATAATATGTGTTGGAGTGAGAAAAAACCTTGGAACTCACTGCTCTAAGGAGGGCCGAGCTGGCACCTTGGGCTATAGTCTTCAGGCCATCTGAAGTTGCCCAGGACTTCACTGGCCACCGTGAGGCCATAGTCCACGCAGAGCATAAAGTCTTCCCATTAGTGTGCAAACCAAGAATTGGCTGGGCTTGGTGTCCCCTTTCATTAGGTGAATTAGTACACACTCTTAGAATCTATCCAAGGCCCAAACAAAAATTTGACATTTTCCTCTAGTAGGCAATGGGAAGAGAAAAAAGAGTAGAGAACACTGGAAAGTTCCAGAGAAGGAAGAACAGTCTGGTGCAGTGATTCTCAAGCAGGGGGATTTTTTTCATGCAGGGGGACACTTGGAAATGTCTGCAGATGTTTGTAACTGTCACAGCTGGAGCAGAGGGTGCTGGAGGTCAGGGTGCAACTGAAATCTTATCATGCACAGGACAGCCCTCACAACAAAGAAGTGTCTGGCTTAAAATGTCAATAGTACTAAGATTGACAAACCCTGGTCTAATGACTAGAGTCTCCTGAATTAGGCAACCCAGATTCTACCCAGTCTCCACCAGCTATATGATCTTGGGGGATGCTCCCGACCTCTGTTGAGCCCGCTCTCCACATACTCCATGTGCTGGTGTCTCCATTTCCTTGGGAGTGGGGAGTTTGGGGGAGTCATGCTTCTTGAAATATCAGACTATAGTTAAGGGTCAGATGAGTTTGCAGATTCTATAGGCCATTAGAAAGTTCAGAGAATAGAATGATGAGTTGTTTCTTCTGGAGGGTGAGATAAGTGTAGGACTAGTCTGAGAAAGGCACCATGGCATTAGGGTGACTGACTATCTTGTTTTACCTGGAACTGAAGGCTTTCCTGGAACATGAGACTTTCAGTGCTGAGCCTAGGAAAGTCCTGAGTAAGCCAGGATGATCGGTCACCCTATATAGGACAGTGGTTTCATCAAGTAGGAACTTGGGACTATTGTATGCTAGCTTTGAGGAGATACTTGCTGTATATACTCTCTCTGTGTCTTTGCCTCTCTCAGAGGAGTTAAGAAGGGAACAAGGGAGGACTTCTTTTCTTTCTTTTTTTTAAAAATAAATTTATTCTATTTATTTATTTTTGGCTGCGTTGGGTCTTCGTTGCTGCATGTGGGCTTTCTCTAGTTGTGGCGAGCAGGGGCTACTCTTCGTTGCAGTGAGTGGGCTTCTCACTGAGGTGGCTTCTCTTGTTGCAGAGCGTGGGCTCTAGGGCACGTGGGCTTCAGTAGTTGTGGTGCACGGACTCAGTAGTTGTGGCTCGTGGGCTCTAGAGTGCAGACTCAGTAGTTGTGGCACACGGGCTTAGGTGCTCAGCGGCATGTGGGATCCTCCTGGACCAGGGCTCAAACCCGTGTCCCCTGCATTGGCAGGCACATTCTTAACCACTGCGCCACCAGGGAGGCCCGGGAGGACTTCTTATAAGGAACTTTCCCCTTATTTGATCTTCAGTAAGGGCCTCTATAAGCAATAGAAGTTATTCGTGGGCATGGGATAAAGGAAATCAAGGATGTAAAGACCCACTGTATTCAGTGCTCTTCTTACCTTGTATCTGCCCTTAATGCCCACAAATACCTCTTTTTGGGAGACTGATCACCTATGGGTTGATAATTTAGGTATTTTTGAACCTTGATGATCCAAGGGGCAGGACCCAGGTGTTCCCAAATAAAGATGCCTTTGGGCGAGAGGCCCAGACTCTCGCCATAAGGGGCCAGCTGCCTCTCTGTACCTTCCTTTTATCTGCCTGAGAGGCCTTTGATTTTCCTGACTTGGCACTCTGTGCCAGGGGCTGCTTGCCACAGCTGCTCCTAGAGAGCAATCCCAGTGAGCATTCTCCTCCACGTGCTTTTTACCCCCTAATGGGCTGGCTAGTTTACAGGCCATGGCATAAGTGGTTTTCATTTTCTGACTGATGAATCAGGAATGCCTTTGAAGTCAGAGCACACTGCTTCCCAAAGAACTCCGGTATTCTCTGCCTCAGTTATACTCAGAGGCTGTATCTGGAAAAGCCCAGCAAGGTCCCATAGAAAGGATTGAAGGTGGGGGCACTGAGCCACGTGGACTGGCTGAGTAGGAAGAGCCAAGGAAGCCCTAGAATTGAGAAAGAAAGAAAAGGTGTTGGGACGCTGGAGCTGTTGTTGCCCCAGAGGTTTCAAGCTTCTGTCCTCCCGTGAATATATGTCTCCTTGATTTGGTGCAGCAGCTGTCTGCAGAGCCACTTCAGACTGGAATTTAGCACCTGCTCCCCTGAAACAATGTCAGTTAATGGTCCCCCAACTCTGCCTGCCTGTTTGTCTTCAGCACTCGGCACTAAGGATACAAAGACACATAAGAGATGTCCCTGAACTCAAGGCATTAGTTTTAATAGAAGAGACAGAAAAGCAAAGCAGTAAGTAAAATACGAGGTGATGAATCTTTCACATGTCTACACAGAAGAAGGGCATGAAGTCAGGCTCCTTGAAGAGATATTTGAATTGAGTCTAAATCACCAAGAGCTCTTTTATTGTTCTCTAAATATTCCTTTTTTGCTGCATCCTGCTCTTGTTTCATGATGCAATGTCTTTTCATTTCTCATTGATCTCTCTGGGGATATTACTGATGGATTATTTTTGAAGTTTTCTTCTTACTGTGTACTTTCTGTTAACTCTCAATTGTTTGCTTTGGTCTTAGTCTTTCACATTAGATATTTTCCTTAAATGTTTGGTAATTTTTGCTGCCTGCTCATATTATAAAGTGAGACACTGAAAATCTGCTTGGAAGTTCTGTGTCAACTGTGGGCTTTACTGTAGGGTGATCTGACTGGACTGTGTCCATGGGGAAGCCCTGATATCAGTATTTGTAGATCTTTTATATCAGATGGGCAAATTCCTCAGATAAGACTCTTCTGATCTCCTGCCTATGTCTGGGGGCTGAGTCATGAAGAGGCCTGGCCATCTCAACATTCAGTGTAGAATTTTCCTGTTTTAAATTCAGTACCCCTATCCTCAGCTGAGCCTGGTGTCCCCAAGCCATACAAAATAAACCTCTGGTCTTCCACCACAGAGGGGGAGGGGATGGGGTCTGGGAGTCTAACTGTTCTCAGGTGCTCAATAGTTTCTCTTGTTTTTAGCTCCACCTTCATCCCACTGCCACCGACTCCTTTCAGGGCTTCTGTGATTTACTGGTTGCTTCTTGCCTCTCCCTACTTTTGGTTTAGGATTCAGTAGGTCAGTTACTACTTGCCTCTCCCCTTTTCATCTTCTGCTTTCATTCTTTTTGTTTTTCTCAGTTTATACCTAAAAAATAATAATAGAAAAACTCTTTTCTGTTATTCTAGTGTGGCTTGGGGAAGGAGCAGAGCTAAAGGCATGAATTCAATATTTAGTTTTTCAAAGTAGACTGAATTCCTTTGTAGAACTGCAAATTTAGACTTCTGAGTTTTTCCCCTAGTTTGTTTTGCCTCACTATATATATTTCTCCAACACCTATCTTGACTTCCCTATTTCTCCACTTGTTTTGACATCAATTACTCAAGCTTCAGCCTCAGGATACCTAGTTTTCCCTTGAGTTGAAAGACACTAGTTATACTTCTGTGTTTGCAAAGAGGAGAGATTCAGTGTCATTAAGTCATTTGGGCAACCACATTTATTGTAAAACTACCACTGTGTATATATTCCTTAACTGTGATGCAGAAAGGAAAACACAAAAGAAGTGGTGCTTACCCTTAGGAATTTATAGTTTCTTAGATGAGGTAGTGTTTTACTCTTTTAAAGCAAGTTCTTTAAGTTCTTTAGGGGAGTTCTTTAAAGGAGTAATATAAATTGTTGATTTTTATTACTTCATTTATAGTCCTGTTGACACTATTCCTCTGACCCCTTTTTTTGTCTCTCATGTTCATTCATAGTGTTTCTTCTTTATTTATTATGCATCTTCATGGAATAAAAAATCATTTTCTTAAAATCAATCCACTTTTATAACTGTTCACTCAAACTTTTGAATCCCTTGGTCACATTCAGGTCAAAAGAGAAAAAGGAGCCTCCTATCTGCCCTTCTTCTGCCAGGATAACGGATGCGTCTTTCTTGCTTTTTAGTCAATCTGGAAAGACTGAATTACTTAGGAAGGTTTTTAATGCTGTCAGTTGTTAAATATTGCTTCTCCTGTGTACAGAATATACAGAGTAGGTCTTATACTTATGGGAAATGATGTCAGGTTCAGAATAAGGTGAAGCTGATTTAAAACATTCTGCATCGAAAATGAGACATTATTTAAAGTCTAAAGTACTTTGATTTTGTCAGTGTCCCAGTATTCTTTACTCTTTCCTCCACCTCCAGCTAAGAGAGAAACATACCCACAAAATCCCTCTAACCCAGGATTTCTCAGCCTCAGAACCGTGGGTATTTGGGGCCAGATAATGTTGTGACAGTCAAAAATGTCTCCAGGCATTGGTCCTCCGGGGGCCAAATTAGCCCCATTTGAGCCTAGTGCTCTAACTCACATTTATAAACGAAACCAGATTCTCTTTTTAAGCCTCTCTTGAGTAAATTTAGCCTTTCCTCCCAACTAATCCAGCCGTAGACGTAGGCAGAGGAGAGACACTGGTACTCAGTGGCTAAGAATGTGGACTTTGTGGTCTGACAATCCTGGGTTTGAATCCTGATTCTGATTCATTTACTAGCTGTGTGACCTTGGGTGTGTTAGTTAATCTCTTTGAGTCTCAGCTTCCTCATCTTTGTATTGTTTATTTTTTATTTTTTAATTTATTTTTGGCTCTGTTGGGTCTTCGTTGCTGCACATGGGCTTTCTCTAGCTGTGGCAAGTGGGGGCTACTCTTCGTTGCAGTGCACGGGCTTCTCATCGCGGTGGCTTCTCTTGTTGCAGAGCACGGGCTCTAGGTGCGCGGGCTTCAGTAGTTGTGGCTCGCGGGCTCTGGAGCTCAGGCTTAGTAGTTGTGGTGCACGGGGTTAGTTGCTCCGCGGCATGTGGGATCTTCCTGGACCAGGGCTCGAACCCGTGTCCCCTGCATTGGCAGGTGGATTCTTAACCACTGCGCCACCAGAGGAGTCCCTCGGCTTCCTCATCTTTAAAAGTGGAAAAAATAGCATGTCCTTCGGACTTGTTGTGAGCATTAAATGAGGTGACGTACATAAGACCCCTGACACACAGTGTGTACTGATAGAGATTATTATTAGTATTACACCCTGGCTCTCCTCTGTTGTTCCGTCACTCCCCCCGCCCCCACCACACACACACATATACACCCCAACCCCTACACTCTCTAATTCTCCCTCTCATGGCATCAAAATGTCAGCACTCTTGAACTTCAGCTTGCTTGGTTTGTTATCAAGCATTTTTAATTTCCAGATAGAAGAAGAGGCTCCCTGTGTGGAAACAGAGAGCTCCAGCAGGAAGGAGCAGGCATCTGGTGGCTGGAAGTAGTACGTTTGGGAGGAAATGAACATAGGTCCCAGGCTTTCCAGCCCCTTCATTAGGAAAAGGGACTAGACTCCCAGACAGTTGCTTTGAAGGAAAATTTGAAAATTGTGTCCTCTCCTTTGATACAACTTCCTTCCTGTGGCAGCTCCAGTTTCATTTGATGTGGATTTTGTTCCTTCTTAGTCTCTTACCTGAAATTTTCTGCAGGTTTACCATCTTCATGGGGTTGTTGTCTAGATCACAGGATTGCTACAAGAAGGAAATGAGAAATGTGTGTGTAGCACTTGGCACACAGCCAGGAACATACTAAGTGCTCAGTAAATGGTAGCTGCCCTTGTTCTTGCTGCTGCTGTGAGAGAGGGTGTTTGATCTGGATAAGGCTGACAGACAGATCCCTAGGATGTGAGGCCAGTAGAAAGCGGGTTTGGAGCTCTTCCTCTTCCCCATTTTATATGAAAGTCCCCAAAGTATACTACTCCACAGGCTGTGCTGCCCTCTTCAGGGTCCCAAACAGCCCGGGAAGGCTTTGCTCCTGCAGTCTGAGTGGTGGTGTTTCCCATCTTAGTCTTGTGAGATGACTAACTGATGGAAATTACTTGGACAATATAAAATAGAAATGCTTATAAATGTTAATAAATAGAAGTAAATGATCACGGGTGGAAGACGTAAAATCATTTTAATAATAAGACATGTCGGCTCAGTTCAAATACTGCTTTCCTGTGCTTTGGAGTGGTCTTTCATATAGAAAGTTTGCTGAACCAAACCGTATGAATTTTGCCCTTAAGGATATGAGGATATTGTTTCATGGGGGAGAGGTCCAGCTGAGTCTCTTAGCCTGTAAAACAGAGAATTGACCCCATTGGCTTGACCTCTAGGGGTGGGGGTGGGCGGTGTCTTACAGGTCATGAAGACATATCACATGTACAATGCCGACAGCATCAGTGCTCAGAGCAAGCTAAAGGAGGCGGAGAAGCAGGAGGAGAAGCAAATTGGAAAATCCGTAAAGCAGGAGGACCGGCAGACCCCACGCTCCCCTGACTCCACATCCAACGTCCGCATTGAGGAGAAGCATGTCCGGAGGAGCTCAGTGAAGAAGATCGAGAAGATGAAGGAGAAGGTGTGTAGGCTCTGGCAGCTGTAGCGGCTGGGGAGGAACGTTCTGGAAGTCAGGACCGATGGGAATTTTCCAGTAAGCCCTGTGGAGAGCAGAACAAGGAAGCTCTGGGTTCCCTTAGTGACTAATGACCTTGCTGTCTGCCCTGGAAGAAATCCTAGGTATTGGAAGAACTTGGGCATCTATAGCAGACAAACAAGAAACTGTAGTTGCCTTTCCTATGCCTGGGAGGGGAACCGTAGGGTTTGGCTTCAGATGTCAGGTGTTCAGAGGCAGATATAGTGACACCTCCTTCAGGGTCGCGGTGTAAGAATGGAGAATGGAATTTACAGATAGAACCAAAGTGGGGCACGCATCTAAAGTAGGGAGCCTCATTAACCTTTCCTGGATTGATCTACATTATACCCTTGAATCTCATTAAACAGAATTGGAACCCAATTTAAGGCATATGCGCTTAGGGAGTAGCAGCACAATTGTGGTTCTCAAATGTGCTGTACTTTCATCTTTTAGAGAACAATCTCCCCTCTTTAAAAAAGAAAAAAAAAGTAAAATTGAACTTTTGTTTCCTTTTCAGCGCCAAGCCAAGTATACAGAGAATAAGCTGAAGGCCATTAAAGCCCGGAATGAGTACTTACTGGCTTTGGAAGCAACCAATGCATCTGTCTTCAAGTACTACATCCACGACCTGTCTGACCTTATTGATGTAAGTGCTTAAAGCCAAGGGTACAAGGGCGCCTCTTTCCTGGATTCGAAGGTCTGGTCAGGAGTCCCCCAGTTCTGTTACTCAGGCATCTTAAAGCATTTTGAGAACAATTATGAAGATGGTAGCCATGATCCCTCAGGGGCTTGCCATGTACCAGGTACCAGGTAAAGCACTTCATAATTTTTTTCATTCAGTCCTCACTGGAATCCTGGAAGGAAGGCATTATTACCTCCACTGTTACAGATTAAAGTTCAGAGAGTTTAGATGACTTACCCAGAGTCAGCTAATAAGTGACAGAGGGAAAATTGGTACCTAGGTCTGATTTCTAAACCCAGGCTCACAACCACTGGGCACTTCTGTCTCCTAGGAAATATTCCCTTAGATCAGGTACTTGCCCATAGAAGTGAGTGACAAGAGCTGAAGTGTTAGAATGTCATACCTTATATTTATATAGCACTTAATATTTCTCAATATTATCTCATTTGATTGTCTTGTCACCCTTTGGGATCAATATTACTATCTCCAATTTGTAGATGAGGAATCTAGGTAGGGGTCAAAAGGGTTCCTGCCCAAAGTTAAACTGCAAATTAGAGTCCTGGTCAGGAAGGTATCCAGATGCCTCTGACATGTGACCCATACTTCTCGCTGTGGCACAAATATGATGAGAGAAGCAGGATATGAGGCTCATGTGTTTTGCATGGGGCAGGCACAAGGGATAAGGGTTTTGTCTTTGGCCTTATGGGTCAGCCTTGGCCTTGTTTCTCCTGCTGCTTCTCCTCACACCTTATAGTTATAGTTAAGTCTTGCAGTCGATCTCACCTGCAAACTCCAGTCTGGCCCAGTTCTGAGCCAGCCCTGACTGCAGCTGCGTAAGTACACACCCTTCCTCACCTCTCTCTCCTGTCATCAAAGTGAGGGGGCTGGAGCCAGCCGACTCAGCATAAGCATCCATTTCCGGGGCTTCAGGCAGACCCTGGCCAGTCTCCTCTCGAGGCCTGATATTTGCCTCTGACTGGGTTTTGCAAGCCTCTGGCCAGACTTCACCTACTTGCCTGTCTACTTTGGTTTCTCCGTGAATGAACCTGCCACACTTCACAATGTCATGTGTGGTTCTGGTCTAAGATTCACCATTGCGTAACTAGCTGGGTGATCTGGGGCTTGTCGTGGAACTGGTTTGGAACTCTGCTTTGTCTCCCCTCCACCCTCTGGCAAACTGAAGAATTGGGCTAGATCATTGGGTACTTAAATCTAGCCTCACATTGGAGCTGCTTGGGGAAAGTTTCTAAAATACAGATTTATGTCTCCCTTCAGCCAGGGCTTTTTGAGTCAGTAGATTTCAGCCCCTTAATGCCCTAGGTGTCATTGTCTTGCTGGGGAAGTGGAGCCCTGATCCCTGTTCAGGCCCTGCTTTGTTCTCTCTGCTTGTTGATGCCAATCTGAACACTGTCCTTCAATGGAGGTCAGGACCCTAGACAGGATCCTTTCTCCTCCTCAGGGGAACAGCTCCTCGCTGTAGGGAGAGAGGCCTGTTCTCAGCATGAGGAAGAGAATCACTTCTTTCTTGTGCTCAATTTCTGCTATTTATCTCACATAAAAAAATCAGCCTGGGCGGTCCGCCACACCTCTGCTACTGGTTTGTCCTTTTCTCTTTCTTTTGCCCCCAGAGTAGGTTTCGTTACCCTTTCACCAAAACCCTGACCTCAGGGGAAGAGAGGGGCTACTGCTAAGTCAGTCACAGAGCCTCCATCAAATGTGAGTGGGTATTTTAAAATCAGTCCAAGAAGCAAGCTATTTTGCTTCTTATTCTCATCATTTAAAAAAAAAAAAGAAGTTTGTTAAGAGCCTGCTTTCACAGAGTGCTGTGTGAAGTGCCATGAAAAAGCAGTCTGCCAGCCTCCGTGGTACTCAGCCAGGGCATGGGTCTAGGTCACTATGAGCAAGTCCAGGCTGGTAGCATTCCAGGCCACACGGATAGTAAAGTTGCTCTTGTTTTATTTTGTTTGTTTGTTGTTTGTGTTTTTCCTGAGGTGAAATTAATTACTCTTTTTTAAAAAAAGCTTACATTATTCTGCTCTACAAATGTTCTTTAAGTATTACTTGGGATGAAGCTATGTGCTCAGCATCATCAGGGGTACAAAAAGAATAAAGTAGTTCTTACCCTAGAGGTATTCACAGACATACAGACAAATCATTTCTATGTAACTGGCTAATTGCAGCACCAGAGCTAAGCACAGGGGGCCCTAGGACAGTGTTTTTTCAAACCGTAGGTCATGATCCATTAGAGGAGGCATGAAATAATTTTTATGGGTTTGATTTATTATTTTTTTAATGAATAAACTATACTAGGATAGAATAGACTAGAACAGAATGGGAACGAAAATAACAGGGTGCATCATACTAGTAAGGTTAAGTTTTATTCGGTGAAACTATTGTGTTGCGGTGTGTGTGTGTGTGTGAGAGTGTGAGAGAGAGAGAGAATATAAGATGTATTTCTTACTAAGTGGAGGTCAAAAATGTTTGAGAGCCACTGCACTAAGAACAGAGGAATGTCTTTTAGTTTCTATAAGCTCCATGAGGGCAGGAACCAAGTCTCCTCTTTATCTTAATACATACATACATAAGTATAGGGCTTACTGAATAGCTGAGCACATAATCTGTTTATTGAAGGAAGAAAGGAATAGAAGGAGGAAGAAGATGATTTCCTAAGCCAAGATTTTTTTTCCTTTTTATGCCTTTCAACACTGTTCTCATTGAGATCTAATTTGCATACAGTGACTGAACTTAAGTGTTAAATTGCAAATTGTGGAGTATCCTATACCCTTTTAACTTACATCTCTATCAAGATGTAGAATATTTCCATCACCTCAGAAAGTTCCTCTTTTCTCTTCCCAATCAATCCCGCACCCTGAGGCAACCACTGTTCTGATTTCTTTCACTGTGAATTAGTTTTGCCTGTTGTAGAACTTCACAAAGATGGGATTTTTATATAGTATATATGTTTTTATATCTGGTTTCATTTGCCCAGCATGATGTTTTTGAGCTGCATCCATGTTATTACAGGTATCAGTTAGTTTCTTGCTTTTTCTTGCTGATCTGTTGCCATAAAAATGGCCAAAAGGACGCTTTGGCCATGAGCCAACAGTTAGAACCGGAGTGAGTGGGGAGCCCGGGTCCCTTGACATTCTGATCTCACCAGTATCCAGAACTTGCTTTAAGATGTGGGATGAATCTTGTGCCAGTCCATTGCCATCTGTTACGGACACCATTCAGCCTCCTTCCTGGCGGTGTCGAAGCTCAGTGTGTGGTAAGGCATCGAGGATAAGTGAAAGAAGTGATTTTTGTCATTGTCAATCCATTGACACAAGGACTAGCCCTTGACTTCTTTTTATTATATAGTATAAGATTTAATCTCAGATTGTAGGAATCTACATGAGGCATCTGACACACACCAGGAAAACCAAAAAGATATTCTGAAGCGACTTGAGATAGTCTTAAGAACCACAGGCTCCTTGGAATGTGCTTCTCTCCCCCAGGAGCAGATGGAGGAATGAAGAACCGGGCATTGTCCTCATGGAGTGTTGTGAGTGCTGTGTGCGTGGGCAGAGAATCTGTGACACCATGTGCACCCAAGTCAGACAGGAGGGAACCCAGCTTTCTCAATAGGACATTTTATTAAGGGCAATTATTTCTTGCTTCCGTAGAAGTTTGAAGTGGGTGTTTCCTTTCTAGGCCTTCTCTAGAGTCTCTGGGTGAGACTGTCAGCTGGTAAAGGGTTAATGAGCTGTCAGTTGAAGTCATCACACATCTGGAAGGGCTATCATTAAGTTCTTATAAAAATTTGATTTCCCCTGAGAGAATTTTCATCAAACATTTATGTAACCCAGAAATGGCCAGGGGAGCCCGGCATGGCCACAGAACTCATCAGAAGCCATGGAAAGCATACTTTGTCCCCATTGTGAGCAAAATAATGTGCTCCCTCTACTCACTGGGATTCTACCGGGAACAAGGATGAAATATTCAAACCTTGTTTACCTAACCTTGCGAGAAGTTGCTTCTTTGTTGAAGCCTCAGTTTCTGGCTCTTGCCCTTTCAGATACGTGGAGAGCCAAGGCTCTGGAAAACCTATTCTGAATCTCCCTGGTTAGCTGGAGGCATAGAGGAGGCGGAGGGCACATTGTGAGTCAGACCCCCACGCACTGACACAGAGAAGCTACAGAGCAGTTATATAATAGAGACAGTGGACTGGCCCAAGAAAGTTCCATGTCTTCCAAAGGCCATCCAGACTGAGTAAAACAAAAGGCTTCAGTGGCCGCATCTGCTCACTTGACTTAGATCAGTATTCAGCCTAAGTAGATTATTTCCTGGGAGGCTAGAATCTGTATTCCTGGCATCAATCAATCAACTGATGTTAATTAAATGCCTACTATGAGCAAGGCCTAATGGTGAGGGAGGCAAAGAAGGAACAAGACACTGGCCAAGCCCTCTTGCCTTCTGTTGGGATGATGTGAAATGGCGAGTCACAGAATGAGGGAGTGTCATTCTGTGTCACATGAGGGCTGCAGAAGAATGTTGTTCTGAGTGGAGGCCAAGGTCAATATATGCCAGAGTTGCAGGGCTGGCTGGCTTCCTAGGGGCTGAGAATTTGATTTGGATCTTGAAGATTGGGTCAGTTCCCAGGTGAAAGGAGTGAGAAACATTTTAGGAGGAGAGAATGCTGGGAGCTGAAAGTGGATTTGGAGATATTGGAGATTGGTGTTTGTTTAAGTGTCTGCATGGTGCCAGATATGTTTAATTGTGTGTCAGCCACACAACAACCTCTGAGGCTGGCGTTATCCCCATGTGGGGCTCAGAGAGGTTAAGTAGCTTGCTTACAGTCATACAGCTGATTTGAGGCCTATGGTTTTCTAATACTTGACCCTGAACAAAGTATATCATTGGATTAGAACAGAAGAGTCTGAAGAAGAAAATAGAGGGAGATGATGTTAGACGGTCAGGCTGAAGACAACTTACACTTTGTTCTGGCTATTGACCTTGCTTAACTTCACTGAACCTCAGCTTTCTAGTCCAGAAAATTAAAATAATACCAACCTCACTGGAGTTACTATGCAGATTAAAATATAGAATATACATAAAGCTCTTAGCACACTGGCATATATATAGTAAGCACACTTAGTAAATGGAGGCATTTTTAAAAATTTATTTTAAAATATTTATTTGCTTTTAAATTATATTTAATTTTATTTATTTTTTGGCTGCGCACGGGCTTTCTCTAGTTGTGGCGAGAGGGGGCTACTCTTCGTTATGGTGCGCGGGCTTCTCATTGCGGTGGCTTCTCTTGTTGCAGAGCATGGGCTCTAGGTGCACGGGCTTCAGTAGTTGCAGCACGTGGGCTCAGTAGTTGTGGCGCATGGGCTTAGTTGCTCTGCGACATGTGGGATCTTCCCAGCCCAGGGATCGAACCCATGTCCCCTGCATTGGCAGGCAGATTCTTAACCACTGCACCACTAAGGAAGTCCCTGGAGGCATTTCTAAATTTCCCAACTGAGGAAGGTAGCCGGTACTTTGGAAGAAAAATGAGAGCTATTATAGGTTCTTCAGCAGGGAGTAGGCATAACAAAAACCATATTTGAGGACAGTGAAGCAAATAGCACTGTAAGACGGTAAGAGTATGAATTAGGGTAGAGGGAGTGAGAATGGAGAGGAAAGGGGAGTTACCAAAAATATGTAAAGGTTACAAAGACTGCCTCCCTCTAATTCTCTTCTGCCCTGGAAAGCTCCCCCCACCCCCACATACCTGCTCAGCCCTGTGGGCAGCATTACTTCTGTTCATCAGACTTACAGGCATGGAGTTCATCATCAGGGTCTACACAGAGCTAGTCAAGAAGGTTTACAGGTTCAAGGGAAGCTTGGCTAGACCAGCAGCATCTCCCAGAGGAGGAAGTGCCCCTGCACGTGCAGCCTCCCAATCAGCCGCTTTTGTCTAGCTTCCCTCCCAACTGAATTTAATGTCTTTCCATCCTCCGCCTCTAGTTAAGCTGTAAATGCTGTTCTTCCACACAGCCAGGCACCTGCCAGGGCCCACTGGCACTGAATCCAGAGCCCAGCCCGACAGGCACTCTGTCACAGAGCTTCTTGTTAGATGCTGGGAGGAGGAGGCACATCACATGCTTTTTCTTCCCCAATAGTGGCTGGTCCCAATGTGATCATGAAGAGGGGGAAAGGCTGGGGGAAGAGTTAAGTTAATGCCTGCTTATGGAATGAAATGGCAATCAGGCAGATGGTCTTACTCTATCCATAGATTCTTCTCTGATAATTCTGCTCAAGTTCTGAATCTCAAAGCTGTTTAAGCAATAGAGGGGATAAAAGATGGCCAAGGAATTTGGATCTCTGGGTCCTTTGGGAGGGATGGGGAATATTGTCATAGAGTTACAGAATGCCATTGCTGAAGAGGGCCTCAGGGATTATATTTAGTCCAAGTATTTTCAGACTTTTTCTCTAGCAGAAGACTTCTTTCTCAAACCAGTCCTTACATAGAATCCCAATATATTAAATAGAAAAAAAGAGCAGAGCTGGTTTGGTTGAAGCAGGGGTAGGAGGCTCCAAGTCCTGCTAGTTGGGCTGCCCTGTTACCCCCTTCTCAAGGGCAGCCTGAGCACAGAACCATAGAGCTCTGGGCTACAGCTTGAAAACCACTGACCTGGCCAAATCTGTTCATTTTACAGTTGAGGAAACGGGTTCAGGGATGTGGAGTGGCTTTTCCAAGGTTGCTTGACTTCCAGTGTTTTTTTTATGCTATTGCCTCTTTCATAGCACTATTTTTTTCCATGTTACTTCAATCAGGATCCTTTAGCTCATGTGAATTTTCCCAGTAAGACTTATGTTTAGAAATTTTTGATCTCATAAATGCTGTCAAGCAGGAGCTTTAGTACAGAAATCCTAATCTACAAGTAAGGCCTGTCCTAGAACGTTGGGAGTTTGCCGGAGGCGGGGGTTGATGACCAGTAGGGTCAGCACACACCCCCCCCTCCAACACACACACACACACACACATTCATTTCTTCTCTCACCTGGAGTTCTCTTGCACCACCTCTGATTTCTGAACCTGAATGCTGAAATGGCCTGGCTTGATTGGTATATGGTGGCTAAATCACAGTAACCCTGAGGCAGTGGCAGGCTATATTTTTATGTTGAATTTTGCTACAGTGGTATCCCCAGAGGAACCTGAAAATAGAAGAATATTCTCCTTAACTCCCAACTCTTTTATGTTTACTGAAGAGCATGATTACATAATTTCATTTTGTCCCAATGAGTCCTCTTCATTCCACCCACCTCACAGTCCTCTAAGGAGTCCTCCATATCACACTAGGAGTCAAGAACTGAGAAATATCACCCAGATCGTGGGGGGTCAGCCCTCTTCCGGCTGCACAGCTAGTCTTGTTGACAGAGTCAGATCTGCCCTGGGGGCCACTATCCCCCTCTGCCAAGCCCTGGGGCTGTCCATGGTTTGCTCACGTGCCTTCTCCGTTCCACAGCAGTGCTGTGACTTAGGCTACCACGCCAGCCTGAACCGCGCGCTACGCACCTTCCTTTCCGCTGAGTTGAATCTGGAACAGTCAAAGCACGAGGGTCTGGACGCCATCGAGAATGCTGTAGAAAACCTCGATGCTACCAGTGACAAGCAGCGCCTCATGGAGATGTACAACAATGTCTTCTGTCCACCTATGAAGTTTGAGTTCCAGCCACACATGGGGGACATGGTGAGACCCTCTTCCCACCCGCAAGTACCCAAGGGGCTTGAGCTCACTTGTCTAGATTTACTGCACTCAAGCCATGTTATTCTGGGGAAGGCGAGGCCTGGGTCTGGCTTCATGTCCGGTGGGTGAAGCCCTTTCCAGCCATTCAGCAAACAGCTCCTGGGTGCCTGCTATCCACTAGGCTTGACAGTAGACAAGGGGGATTAGAGCCCTCAGGCAGCTTACAGTCAGCTGAGTTGAGAGTTAGAAATATGCACAGGGAGGGGCATCCAGAGGGACCAGCAGGATCAGAGGAGGTGAAAAACAGCCAGCGTGTTCTAAAAGCTACTGACAGTTCAGTATGGCAAAAGGGAAGGAGAGAGGTGGAGGCCTCCAAGTGGTGAGGCTGAAGGAAGTGAGAGCTGAGATGGGGCCAGATACTAAAGGCTTCTGATGGGGACGGAGGGCTAAGCAGGGTGATGACGTGATCTTTTGTCACTCAGCAGAGTTCTGAAGGATCTAATTTTCTTGGGTTTAAAAGATTGTGATAAAAGGTATAGTTTTGCCTGGGTATTGAACAAAAAAAGAATGGGTACCTACAGAAAGGACAGGAGCCAAGATGTCAACCCTAAGAATGGCTATCCAGGCAGCAGTGCATGAACATGGGGGCCATGTTTATGACTTTTCACCTCCGATGACTTAAACAAGAAGGGCCTAAATAAACCGAAGTGAGAGGAGTGAGAAGCTCTTTGGTTTTCATTACTGTGAATCTTGTGGTTTCTCTTCTGGTGGTTGTACATACAAATCAAAGTGAATCTTATTGCTGGGGTAGGAGCCACCATTTGACCTGTGGGTTAAATCAGGAGGAGGATGTATAGGCTTACATAATAGAAAAGCTCAGAATGGATCTTCAGGCATGGTTGGGTTTAAGAGTGGGAATTTTATCAAGACTTCGTTTTTCTCTTTCTGCTTCACATCCTGTGTGTTGGCTCTATTCTCAAACAGGCTTTTATCCCGTGGGGGCAAGGTGACTATATTTCCAGCCTTATCTCCTTGTAGATTGAAATCCAGCAGAAAGAGTATCTGCTTCCCTCCTAGAAGCCCCCACAAAAGTCTCATTGTGTCTCCTTGGTCCTGATTGGGTGATGTGCTTATCCCGGAGCCAGTCACTGTGGCTGGTATCTGCAGTCGGCTGATTGGCTTATGCGGAGGTCACACACTGCATCCCCAAGTTGGGGAGAGCCCCATCCAAAGCACATGGCCTGAGTTGTGAGTGGAATGTTCCCCACAAAGGACAGTCAGTCCAAAGTTATCAGAAGAAGGAGGAATGAATGCTGGGTGATGGAAAAACAAAAATGCCCTTTCAACAAGGGAGTGGTGCTTCCGTTAAGATTAGCATCCAGATGCTTTTTAGAAAACCCTCCTCCAGAATGACAGCTGTTATACTGTAACCAGCAGATTTGCTGTCATCAATAGGCCACCATGGAGAGTGGGACATTTCTATCCTAAAGACAAAAATATGGAGATGATTTCTTTCCTCCTTTCCTTCTTGGGGAAAACCAGACCATTTACAGTTTGTTTCCATTGCTGTGGCTTAGGAAATGTCAGCATCTGTACAGATGGGGAAGTGAGATGGCAGCATGTGCAATTAGAATACGAGGGTGTATTGGTGTGTCACCAAGCCCCAGGAAGCCCCATTCCTCACCTGCCCTGGCTTCTGGTCAAACTTGCCTTCCAAGTCCCTTCTCCAGCTGCCACAGAGATTCCTTCCCAAGAAGCAGTGGAACTTGGGGACCAGCTGAGTGGAGTGATACATTTTCTGGTGTTGACTGAGATGCCTTCTAAGCCAAACAGCTTGTCTCCATAAAGGGGGATTCCAAATGCTGGGTGCTCAGGCCCCCTCCTAACCCTGTCAGAGCCTCATTTCCATACTCCAGAGCACAGCTGGAATGCATTACCTTGCACCCCGATAGAGGACCACTGCCAAAGCATTCATCAGCAGCCCTGCTGCTTCTTAAAGAAATGAGCATGGAGGTGGTTTTCCCTCCATGATTCCTCCCTGCTACGTCGAAGTTACTTTAAAAATCAATAGTTCGTCTTCTGCCCAGGGCCTCCCTTTGTGTGATATAGCTGATCAGTGGCTGGGCAAGGCGGGGCCAGGGCCAGTACTAAATCTTGCAAAGGTTTTGCATTCCAGCCTAGCCTTCATGTGAGTGGAAAAGCAGCCATCTATCCCCAGTCATTGAGGGCTGTCTGTAGACTGTGGAGGCAACAAGAGGGAGCTGCCTGGAAGTCCTTGAACTAGGGCCAAAGTTCGGATGGCATTTTGAGCAGAAGCCCTGAAATTGGCCAAGGCCCGACACTGATTGGCGTTCTGGGGCACTCAGCACATGAATTGATGCCAAGCAGTCTCAGATGTACTCGGAGGAGGTGCTTGGCTCTACCCTTGGTGCCCCCAGAGACTTGTGGGGCTCTGAATGCCTGACCAGTGACATCAGGCAGCCAGAGAGTTTCACTACTGGCACTAACCCATCCTGGCCACTGAGCTTTCTCCATTGTGTCTGCTTATCCAAAAGCCAGAATGAAGTCAGCTCACTTCAGATCTGAGAGCTGGCTCAGGCCAGCCTCTCAGCTGGGGGAGGAGGTCAAGTCAGTTGAGAGCTTAAAAGCCAATGGAGGAAAAGGTCAAGTCCCAGCCCCCTCCATTTGAAGAGAGGTTTTGTCCTTTCAAGCAAGAGAATGGTCTTGGGCATGTGAATGTGCCCACTGCTGGGGAAGGAGGAGGCCAGTTCTATCCAGATGTCTCTTTGCAGACGAGAGGCTAAAGGACACGTGGTGGCAAGGTGACAGGAGCTGCCTCCACGTGGCCCTGCCTCCCAATCTGCCAGCCTTCTGTTCCTCATCTGTCATCCTGGGGATTGTGGGTGACCTCACACCTATGCCATCGCCATGGGCCCATCAGGAGACAGTGGCTCAGCCATCCCCTCACACAGGGGGAAGCTTGTTGACAGCGATCCTTGGGGGGAAGGGCAGACTTCTCTCCCACACAGATCTGGTGAAGATCTGGAGTAAAACGATGGCTTTTTGAAAATGCCAAGTTCCACAAGATTCCGTGCCCTCTGGGGCCCTCTAGCAAAGCCCGTGGACTTGTTCCTGGCTTCACGCTTTCTCTCATTGAGTCAGAGCTCTCATGCACGGCCCAGATTTATAAACACATGCTGGCTGCCAACAGCGACATGTTAGCCTCCTGACCCACTTCTCTCCTGCTTTCACTCTGGTGTACAGCAGGGAATGAAGGAGGGGCCAGCGAGGTGGCCACTTGGACCTCTGGCAGGAAGTCCTCACTGTGCCAAAGCTTTGTGTATCTGGAGCTGGGCTGCCTAAGGCACTCTTCTCTGCCCTAACTCCAGCTTCCTTGGAGCCGAAGTCCCTGTATAGACCTGTGTCTGCCAAGCACCAGGCTGGAGGTGGGCTCCAAAGAGAGAGAGAGAGATCTTTCCAAACAGCTTCCATTGCTCATTCCTTTCTTGTGCTATTTGGTCCTGGAAGAGGTCTACACACTTTGGCTTTGGATTTTGTTTTAACATAGAATTTGCGAGCTTTACAGCTTGAATATAAGTAGTTTTATTAACAGTAATGGGACTCTGACAAAAGAACTGTGTCCCCTTCCTGACCTAGTATTGCTTTCTTTTGGCAGGCTTCCCAGCTCTGTGCCCAGCAGCCCGTCCAGAGTGAGCTGGTACAGAGATGCCAACAACTGCAATCTCGCTTATCCACCCTGAAGATTGAGAACGAAGAGGTGAGACTCAGAACCACCCTCTGAGTTTCCCTGTCAAACCTCTTGCTGCTGCCCGTCTGGGAGCAGGTGGACGGAGCCATGCAGAGAATGTCCGGGCTGCTGCAAACATTTCGTAGCCAAATGTAGGCTTGGATTTTCCCCTTCTGCTACATCCTGCCCTTGAACTCCAGGAAGTTGCTCTTGCATTGCCAAAGGTTGAGCTCTATTTTGAGCTTTTACAAAATGGTTTTTTTTCCCCCTTTGCACATTTAATCAAAATGGCACTTGGCAGCTGTGTGAACAATATTGTGTCTCTGAAACCACCCCCTCATGCCTGGCTTTTTCCAGCATTTTCAAACAAACAGAGGCCTTTGACTTTGACACTTCAAATATCTCCATCCTCTTAGAAAAGGGTGACTTTCTTCTGGGCCCAACGTATTGGCTTTCAACAACCAGTTAAAAGGGCAGTATGATTAATTATCAGCTCCTTTCTTTTGAGCTCATGTGACTTCTCACCTGGCATCTCAGTAAGTCTGACTTTCCCCGGTAAGATCAGGAAAGCCTGGGGATGGGTCACTTAGTTTGCACGTGGGCAAACAGGTTCATTCATTTGTTGAAGGTCGGGAAACAGAACCTGGGGCATTGCGGGACCAGGCCCATCATACATTTTTAACCAGCTCTTTGTATGATGGGGTTGGTTTGGATTTGTTTCATCCTCTCTCCCTTAGCACGTCCAGCATAACAAAGAGCTAATCTTTTTTTAATTTTTTTATTTTTTTATTTTTTTTTTTGCGGTACGTGGGCCTCTCACCGTTGTGGCCTCTCACGCTGCAGAGAACAGGCTCCAGATGTGCAGGCTCAGCGGCCACGGCTCACGGGCCCAGCCACTCTGTGGCATGTGGGATCCTCCTGGACCGGAGCACGAACCCGCGTCCCCTGCATCGGCAGGCGGACCCTCAACCACTGCGCCACCAGGGAAGCCCACGAAGAGCTAATCTTAAATTTAAAAAGTGAACATTAAATAGCTGGGTCAAGCATGTAGCGTGAAGGGAGTAGTGGTTTTAGATCCTCACTGGAGAGAGTAGGGTCTGTGTGATATTTATCACTCACTTAGCACCGTCCAATGGGAAGCAGACCTGCACCCTCTGACAGTCCCCTCCCTCCTTCCTCAGCCCACTTCTCTCCCACTTCTCCAAGCTTCTCCATCACCTCTTGTTTTGCAGCCTGCTTCTCATGCATTATGTTGGCCCTTATCATGGCAGGTAAAGAAGACAATGGAGGCCACTCTGCAGACCATCCAGGACATTGTGACCGTTGAGGATTTTGATGTGTCCGATTGCTTCCAGTACAGCAACTCTATGGAATCCGTCAAGTCCACGGTCTCAGAAACCTTCATGAGCAAACCCAGCATTGCCAAGAGGAGAGCCAACCAGCAAGAGACAGAGCAGTTCTATTTCACGGTGAGGGGGTTCAGTGGCCTTTAAAGATCATCTTTAGGCACTGCAGCACACACAGGCCATTTGGATCCCAGTGTCCTTGTCAGGTGTTTGCAGGATATCTTATCCAGTGTCTTGCAGGATATCAAGTCTTTGAATATCTTGACTTGGATCTGGGCATGTTCAGAGACCACCCCTACACTTAAAAGACACAAATATACACAAGTTGTATATCTAACAGGGACACCCAAGAGAAAGGATGGCCCCAAGTACACTACCAAGAATATTTTCCTTTTGAAGACTTTTTTAACCAGCTAGTAAGCTTTTGTTTGAAAGTTTCCTTCTCATCCCTAGGGGTCGTGAAAGAGGGACTGCATCTCTTGGTTCTTGAGAACTACGTCGAAATATTTTGGCTAACGCATGTCTGTAATCTTTTCTAGTTGATATGATATGATATTACTTTATAATTTAAAGTGGGAAATTATTTTTCATAATTATGGCTGAAATTCAAAGGGACAGGTAATGTGTAGCATTGTTGGTTTGCATAGAATTCTAAGACATTATATTTTGTTATTCATGCATCTCCCAGTCCTCTTTTAGACAGATGAACCCAATTTTTTTAAAGTAGTGTTAACAGTCCTTTGGAAGGTTGCTGGCTGGTCTTTGGTGCTGCTTTTTAATAATTAAGTTATTTTGAGCTTGCCAAGTAGGATTTATTGCCTGAACTAAAATTTATTTCCTAATCTTCTGACAACTAAGAAGAAATTAAGTTTGCAGATGTGAGAGGAAATATAGCCAGTGAATATGCATACTGATTCTGAATGAGAGGAATTAACTTGTTTTTCAGTCAAGAAACACAGTCTGCATGTAGTAAATTGAATTTTTCCTCCAACTGGAAACATTTGTTTAATTCTTCTTTGAACACTGCCCTTTCTCCATTAAGAACACTAGTGATTTGCTATCTCCTTCAAAGAAGAAATCTGTTTTTTCATGTAATTAAGCTCAGAATTCTTCAAAAATTTTTTTTTAAGTTCTGGAGAAGACTGTTGAGAGGGAGTGATTTAACAGTATTATTCTTTAAAATAACTTTTTTTTTCTTGTAATACAAAACAAAACATGCTTATTATATAGAATCTGGAAGTAAAAAGAAACTAAAAATCAGCCATAATCCCAATAACCTAGAAATAATAGCATTAGAATATATTCTCTTCCAGGCTTTTTTCTATGCGTGCACACAAATGTGAGCATATATTTATAATTTTATTATAAAAAATGGGATACTGCTGTACATATTGTTTTATAATCTGCTGCTTTCATTTAACAAATGATTAATATTTTCCTAAGTCATTTAATTATAACATTCTTTAATACATTTATGAGTAAAATACTAAAATCTATACAGAGAAAGAATGGAATGACATTTTGGCTCATTCATTCATTTTTGTAAAATACATAGCACATTGCCTGTTTTGTAGCGAGTGCTCAAAATTGCTGAAAATTTATTATCTCTATCATCACTATTAATTTATTCATTGAATATTATTAAATTGTTTATTGATCATTTATTAAGGATCTGCTATGTACCAGACACTGTGCTATATAAGCTGGGAATGCTAAGAGTATAAAATGAAGAGGAGAATGATGGAATTAGGCCTATGAAGGGAAAACTTTCTTTTTTACTGAGTGTAAACAATTACAATACAATTACAATAGATTGATCTGGGTAACTAAAAAAAATAAATGTAAAAAATGTTAAGTGCATACATGCATATGTGCATGGATGGCAATCAGGATAAATGGAGTTGGGGAAATATTACGTACAAAGTAACTTCTGTGCTGATCAGGCAATGAGTGAATCAAGAGGAGAAAGGCATTCCTTGAGGCAAGAGCAGCATGTGCAAAAGCATGTAGGCATGAAAAACCTGGGACAGACATGAAGAAAACTTCCTGTCTGTAGTGAGGGCTATGTACCTCCCCAAGCTTCTTTATCTCAGGAGGTTGTTAAATACTCGAGAGGCTTTTGGAATTGTCTGGCTGGTCTGTCTGGACTGCTTAGATATAACGCTACTTAAATGACCCAATCTTGTTACATTGCAGAACAAGATTAAATAAGGATTTTGGACATAAAAATCTGTATTTAAGACTGTCAGAAATTACTTTTTGGCTTTAAGTGAAGCTATAACATTTGTATTCAAATTTGACCTTTAGTAAGAGCAGGAAT